GAGAGAGAGAGAGAGAGAGAGAGAGAGAGGTGGGGGCTGGTGGGCAGATAGTTGATAAACGAGGACTGGAAGGACAGAGATCTTGTTTGGGTTGAATCTCGCAGGACAGGAGCTGGATGCGCGTCCTGAACCTCACTGCGAGTGGGGTCTACAACCGACGTTCGATGGGCTATATGGTACCCGAAAAGCATCCCTCTTCGTATTTTAGCATGTGGTTCCATCAGTAACAAAATGTTATCGAGACAGCGCATCGATTCTGAAAATGCTAATGACGGCCTGATTGATGTAAGGGGAGTTGAGATGGCCATAGGAAACGCGAACGGCTGGTCTGGAACTGGTCGGGAGTTTGTCAAGGTAGTGTCTTTCTGTGTATCATCAGAAGCGGTAAACGCTGTCAGATTTGTGAAAAATATGAGGTGCAAAGGGATGTTTTCACGCGGGGTAAACCCTGCGTGGCTTGCGAGGTCTTGACAGTGACGGAGAAGGATAAAGGGGGGCGTCGCACGGATTTAGTTTGCTGGGTCGTCATAGATTGACAAGACTGGCGGAGTAAGCGAGTGATTTGATGTCGAATACTGTTGGCCAGGGGATTACTAGGTGTGTCTGGTAGGGGGGACGGCGATGGCGGGAGAAGATTGAAGTTGGGTGTGATAGCGCGGCAATGGATTCTGTGCACTTGTCCCTATAGAACCTATCGCTTGTTTGTGACGACTGTGATCTCAAGAACTGATGTGAGGTGATTTCTTCAGGACGGGCTCAAGTTGCAGTGTATGGATTGTAAACTGTCCCAGTTGTGGCAATGGAATTGGGCAAATGCTCAATGTTCTGTGCCGTCGACGGTATCGCTCCGTGACTTGGCCACAGGAACACATGCTTGCAAGTGCAAGCGTGGTTTGCCTTCGCTTTTCCAGGGTTGTGAAGTAGCAAAAGAGCGAATGCCGCGAGAGGACAAGCGGTCGATGGGATCCGAAGATGGAATCCAGCCAGAGCATATGCGATCGGTGTGATTAGGTGCTGTCTGACGTCGAGTCTTGATAAATCGGGCTAAAGCGATTTGTGCAGTTTATGAAATCAGTGAAGGAATATTCCCGGCTCGTGTGATCCTCTGTCCAGTGGTTGATGGCGGTGAATAAAAAGCGACATGCGGTCTAATATGCCTTTGTTTGCTAGTTGAGGTTGTTCTGTCCAACAAGAGTTTGTGATCGGATGGAGTTGTGTGCCGTCTTTGACCTCAGCGACGGATTTGAACCCTCCTGTCCTTTTTGTTTGTGTGCGCTGTGTGTGTGTGTGTGTGTGTGTGAGAGAGAGAGAGAGAGAGACGACGACATAATGTGAGTATCAATACCGTATCCTGATGTACGTTGGAGAGAGGAATACCGCGAGATAATCACATGCTGAGATTGGAGCGCTTCTACCAGCACGCTTGGCCGCTTGGATGTGTTTTTTGATACTGGGAATAGTGGCGCCCCTGCAGGACCAGTGGTTCTTATGCTGGTCTTCCTCTCGGTCTGTGCCTCTGAGCCGTGTTTATAACGACAGGGAATGGTGATGTTGTGATAGTCCTTGTTGGACTGTGGTTTGTGGTTGTTTGATTGGCGCGAATTTTTTAAAAAGTTGTTGATTGGTTGCTTGATCAACAAATGAAATCATGTAATTACCGCGTGGAATGCGTATTTGGAATTCGACCATTCTAATTGTGGCTTTTGATGGTGATGGCGGTGATGATGGTGATGATGGTGAGGATGGTGGTGATGATGATGGTGGTGGTGATGGTGATGATGGTGGTGATGATGATGATGCAGGTATCGGATAACGGCAGACAAACGCAGCGTGGCTGTCTGTAGCATACACCCGTCTGAGGCAGCGACGCTACAATGTCTCGGATGCGTGAAAGCGAAGTTGTCACTGTCGAAGAGCTATCATTGCTCTACGCAATGCTTCACCGCATCATGGCGCCAGCACCGAGCGATGCACGCGAGGGCGGCGAGCCTAGGGAGGGAGAACGGGACTGAGGAGGAAGATATTTTCGGGCAGTTCGGTGGCGGTCCCGGAAGTACGTTCCTGGGAAGCGCCGGAGCACTTGGAGTGGGGACCGGGGTAAGTGGTGGATCCTCAGGAGGGCCGGGTTCGATTGGTGCCGTGAGCGCTCTGAGCAATGGCGGCTCTTATCCCAGTCCCGCGAGGGGGGATATGCTGCAGTCGTCAGGCAACGGGGGGATTGGCAGCGGTGGTGGGGAGACGTTGGTGGAGGTTGGGAGGGGGAGGGCATACACTCCTGTTGCTGATGACGTGGGATACACACTGAAGGTTGAGTGCGCGGTTGTGGAGGTTAGCACGGGTAATACTGTGGCGACTCCCAGTACGGCGATCACTTCTAGGGTCGTGCCGGCCCCGTGCCCTCCGCGCAAGATGATCTTGGTGAATGGAGTGGATGGCGTCGGGGGAATGGAGGTCGATGGCTCCAGGGCTCCATCGACCGGAACTTTTACGGTTCTATCCTATAACATTCTGGCAGAGATGTACGCCATTCCGGAGATGTATAGCTACTGTCCCGCCTGGGCCCTGTCGTGGTCCTACAGGAAACAGAATCTTCTCAGGGAGCTGTTAGGGTATCGGGCCGACATCCTTTGTCTCCAGGAGGTACGATGCCCTCGCCTCTGTTTCAGTGCTTTTCGTTGCTTCGACATCCGCTCAATTCCTGCGGCCTCCTTATCCCTCGCCCTCGTAATGCTATCCACTCCTTCGCTGCTCGTGATCTTTCCCTCTTACGGGTGTAATTCTTTCCAAAGTCGCCTCCCCCCTTTCTTTCCAAAGTCGCCTCCCCTCTTACCCACATGCCCCTCTTACGGCTATTTGCTCTCTTTTTAAACGATGCTTTTCAGACTTGCACGATCTTCGACATTATTCTGTCTGAGCCTTGGCGATCGTTTTGCGTTCTTGCCCTCGCGATCTTTTTCTTTCATTCCATCGACGATCGTACACCTACGCCTGTTCGCCTGTTCTTCTTCCTTCGCTGCGCGACTTCCGCCGCACTCGCGGCACCTCTCATGAGCTTACCTCGCCCTCGCCTTTGAACGAGCTCTTAGGTCTCGTCTGCTTTTCTCTACGCTTCTTGTGGTTTCAGTGGGAGCGTCAGGTCTTTTGTAGTTATGTGGATGCCTTTGCGTGTATCGACTGGTCTGTGTGTGCCATTTGTCTTTGCATCCGTTTTTGTTTGTGTATCCGCCGTGACTTCTTGCCTCTAGCTGTTCGTCCTTGTGTCTAGTTTCCCTTCATCGTGTCCGGCTTGCCTCCTCTCTCCAGCGGTATTATTCTACCCTTCTATCTGTTTGGGTGTTCCAGCTGATCCTCTGGTCGGGCGCTTGTCTATCTCCTGATCTTCTGTCCATCTATCTGTTTGGGTGTTTGTCTATCCGTCGGTTCTGCTGCCTGTGCAGCCCCAAATAGCTGTCGTTACTTCTGGTCACCTCCACTCCGCCTTCTCCATCATCGATTGTGGGATGGTTTCATATGCGTGCGTGGCTACACCCAGAATCTATCCCATTATCTCTGTTTATACATTCGTGTATGGATCCGATATGCCGGTCTCCAGTATACCACGTGCTCGTGTTTCAAGGGTGCGGTGCGCGTACGGGCAAGCTTGTGTTCGTGCGTGCTCTCGTAACCTGTGAATGTGTTTGTTTCTATGGGTATGTGTGTGCATGGATTTGTTTGCGGAGTATTGGTCTTGTCTGTACGTCTTTTTATCGAGCGGACTTTCCTGCAACGATGGGAAGAAAGTCATTCACGTCGTCAACCGAAGGTCATGGCTGCTCCTTTCATGCGTCACTGGCCTTTGCGGTGCACTTCACCTCCACGCAGAATGGTTAGGGTTTGTCGATGCACGTGCAGCCAAACGAGAGGAAGAAGGAAGGTGTGTTGCTCTCACCCATGGGTGCTCGTTGCCTCCGTCTTCAGCCGCCTAGAGGTCCCGAGGTAATGATTTTTAGTCGTGAGAAGCGTCGTCTTGGCTCGGGCGTCACTGGCTTTGCTGATCCTTACACGTTCTTTACTGCGTGGCAGTTTCGCGGAAATCTCCGCGAAGCCTTCCATCCCTCTGAATACTTGTCCGTTTCTTGTAGTCTGCAAGCAGCGTTTTGGGGATTCATGACGCCCTGTCTCGACGTGGGAACGACTGCATGATGCCCTGTCTCGACGTGGGAATGACTGCTCTTGCAGCCTTTTGGGGATTCATGCCGTCCTGTCTCGATGTGGGAACGACTGCTCATATGAGGTTTTCTGAGCCAACGGCATTCTGAAGACCTGTGAGGCAAATGGTACATGCTACACAATAGTACCAACTACAGTGTGCGCTTGCCTTATCGCCAAGCCTACGACCTCTACAATCTGGGAACGACCAATTGCAAGAAGGATTCTTTCTACACTGCGAGTGGGAGTTTCTTGCTTGCTGACCGATCGGGTGAAAGCCGAACTGATTGTGTGCAGACTATCGATCGCGGCGCCGTATCAGCTGCCCGTCCTCGTCCGTCATTGTTCACACCGTTTCTTGCTTGCTGACTGACGAATTCGTTCTGCCTTCCCACCGGTACATGTCTCTCTCCATCTGCGCATGTATTTATTTTTTAAGTCTTCTTCTGCTAGCGAGTTCCATTCGTTAGTTGCCTTCGCCTGCTGTGTCTCTTCTCTGGTATTTGGTCGTGTTTACAGCGGCCCATCTGGTGAGCAAGGAGTGGCCGGACGAGCGGCTCGGCTCGGTGTTGAAAGTACTGCAAAGTCGGTCATGGCTGGTCGGTGTTTGATTTCGACGTCATTCTTTGTGTCAGTGTTTGATTTCGACGTCATTCTTTGTGTCGGTACAGGTTCAGAGTGACCATTTTGAGGAGTTTTTCGCTCCAGAGCTGGACAAACATGGGTACGCGGCGTTCTACAAGCGCAAGACAACCGAGGTGCGTGTTCTTCCCTTTCTGTTCCTATTCATAGTCTCGGCTGCCGCGACCTATGGGACTTGGGTGATGCAAAATATGGGGCAGGAGATTGCAGGCAAAGCATATCGTAGAGGAGATGAAGCTGTCCGTTGTCTGCTATTTGAAATAGAAATTGGTTTGGCATATCTTGTTGAGCGGTTTGTACGTTCCATGTGGAGGTGCATTTAGCCAAACGAAGTGCTTGAAGAGGTGGCCTTGGGAATCGTCCTTCTCCCTTCAGAATAGAGCAACCTAAATTTTATCTAGTTATCTAAAGGTCCGAGACCGAATAAACGTGTTACGTTTCGTGTTCTTTCAGCATCCGAAAGTATGAGTGACAGAGTTCTCCCAGCAAGTCTCTGATTCGTTTTCTTTCCATCCTTTGGCAATTCGTTTGTAATGGGAAAGCTTCTCTTTGTTGCGCGACTGCCAATGCATTTGCAAGTCTCTGATGTTGGAATGGCAATGTCTAATTGTGTTGTTTCGTCCGCTTTCTTGGCAGTCACAATTGTACACAGGCTCTGTTTTTGTTATTGATGGATGTGCGACCTTCTTTCGACGCGACCGGTTTTCACTTGTGAGAAAATACGAGGTACGACGCCCCCCACCATTTCACTTTGTATTACTCACTCCTCCCTCGAGAGAATATTGCCCTCTGCCTGCTATCGTGAACTGCTGCGTCGTGCTCCCTTGCTGTGGCCTTTGATCTTTGTCAACCAATTCACCTTGTTTTTTCTTTTTCTTTTTTTCTTTTTGAGAAGATGTAACCGTTTATTGCCAATCAAAAATATGTAGAGGCCGGGGACCTCACAATTCAACCCGGAGTTGACAAGGAACCTCTTGCTGGAAACGGGTCCAGCGTCCCATGACTACACTCCTATGAAATAGCTTCCCCAAAAAAGGTCGTTGAAGCCCAGTAAAAGGTAGCTGCAGAGAGCAGATGTATTTTTTTTGTGCCAATGAGCTTTGTCGTGCTCCCCTGCTGTGGTGAACCTTGTCGCTGGTTGCGCACTCTCGTGTCTGTTTTTTTTTGGCGCTTTTTATTCAAAGCGATTTAGTTGTCTTCAGGCTGTCTTCAGGGAGTCACGTCTTTGTAACGTAATGAACTCTGACAGGGTTCGGTTGCCTTCACCCTGTTTCAATTTCTGGAAAACGGATAGGCTCAGCAGCGAAATGTAGGCATGAATGATCATCATCGCACTGTCATATATTCGAGATATTCATTGTGTATGAATTCTGAAAAATATTGATGTTTTATAAATCAAATAAATAGAGCATGACTCGCGCATGTGCTTGTGGTTCGCGCATGTGCTAGTTGGAACCACAAATGTTCTATTATGTGAGCCTGCGCATGGCTTGTTGAAGTTTTGGACGGATGTAGAGGTCGTAGGATTCTGCCTGGGAAGTTAAGTGCCGGGAGGCCTTGCAAGTTGTCTCGTTCCCCCAACAGCAGAATGGATGCAGATCGTTGTTTCAGAGAAGAGAGCATAGTTATGATGGAAACAAATTGTTCGGCTCCATACCTGCCAAGGTGTACGGTTAACACGTCGTGGTTCTATTTCCAGCAGAAATTGACTGGTTTAGCAATCCAACAACTGTGCAACAAGCAGGGAATATGCTGAAGCATGTTTACGGTTCTGTGGAAGAGCAGTTGAAGACCATAATAGATGTCCTTCTTTCTGGACTAGTTTGGTGGCTGACAAACAGGCGCTTGTGAAACAGACGAAGAAGCTGAGTAACCGCGGTCACAAGAGGGAGTGATGAACGCAAAGGTTCCTCGATGCGACGTGTGTGCAGTTGCTTGCAATGGGTTTCTTTGGTGACAATTTTCCACTTGCGTCAAAATGTGTCTTGGTTGGACCAATGCAGGTGGACTTCAACAAGGCAGCGATATCTTTGTCGGAACATCTGGCTCCAGCTGCCTCCAAGAAAGTGGCTTTAAGCAGGCTGCTGAAGGTGTGTTGCTTGGCAGTTGCCTTCCTCAAACTTTCTTGAATGTTGGGCTACTGTCTGACGGGCGACTGTGTACGGAACCCTCTTAAACCCTTTTACCGAAACTTGGGGCTTATGCATGGAGGCAATGGAAAGGTACTGCCCACCGGGACCTAGTCGGGGGGAAAGGGGTGAGGGGGGGGAAGGGGGGGTGAAAAATTCCGAGCTGTACAGCTGGCCAGTGTCTGTTAAAGTTTTCGGTTCTGCTGTGATGGTGGTTAAAAAATCATCTTTCAGCTCCAACACAGCTGAGAATTATGCCATGGGAGTATATACCCCTGAGCCCATCCTAGAATATGGTATGTCTCTGCTCTTTGGACAATGGGAGATCCAGGAAGTTCACTACATTTGACTCCTCATTTGATAAAAATGGAAGTCAGATTTAAAGGACCAGGTACGGCATCACATTTCACACCTAAGGAAGGTACTGGCCAACTGTGAACAAGCAACGGACTGAGTCGTGACCTAGTTGCATTTCAGCATGAGGCAGCAGAACTCTTCCTTGTCATCCGCCCCAATAACCTGATCTCAGGCAGTTGTTCCTTCTCATGTTTGTTCGTGATTTCGATTTGCAGGATAATGTTGCACTGATAGTGGTGTTGGAGTCTCAAGATCCAATGGAGGTCCAAGATGGACCGGGACCCACTAGAAAGGGCCAGCTGCTGTGCGTGGTAAGTAGGCTCTGCCTGTGTGCTGAAGTCTTGCAATAATGATATACCTCAGTAATTTCGTGTATTCTCTCACAATTGAGTATGTTGGTTGACGGGTTTGGTAGCAGTGAACCCTGTATTGCGGAGTGCCGGTCTGCTACATTCCTATTGCGATAAGATTAGGATATAACAGGTCACGAATGATGCCCCCTGTAGAAAGACTGTCCCCGGGGTTGGCACAAGCCATCGGATCCCCTCACTGGTTGAGTACAACGACAGGCACCTCCTGAGGCCTAGCATCCACCCTCTACTACGACATGGAAAAAAAAAGAAAAAAAAAGATAAGGTCATATGCTATCAACCACCTTGCTATGTCATGCTAATGTTGAATAGGTAGGAAAGTTGCCGAATGGCATTTGCAGAAGTTTCCTTATCATGGTCCTTCCCATTTGCTCTCTTTTCTCCGTTTGATGATGGCATGAGCATTACATCATCCCGCACTGTGGAGTCTGCAAATTGCTTGTCTGCACATGGTGGTGGACACCGGGTATGTGAATTGTACATGCGTTTCCCATCTTTCTTTCCTTACTCGGTTGAAATGTCTTTTGTGTTTATTTCAGGCCAACACTCACATCCATGCGAATCCTGAGCTCAAGGACGTGAAACTATGGCAGGTATGGCAGTTCCTGTTGTGCCGTATGTTACTGGCTAAGGTGGCACTGCCTTTAAAGGCGGACAGTGCTAAGAACCTATCTGGTTTTGATGTAATATTTTACTAACCATGGTTTGTTCGCATCCCCTCTATGCGTAGGCGGGACCACCTTCAAGCGGCTTCTGATCTGGTGCTGGACTTTGTTGTTGGCCTTCTTGACATTTCCCTCTGGACATGTACCCGTACTATGTGCTGATGTGTACGTGCAAAGAAACCCATTTGGAAGCATGCAATTGCGTTGACATGAAGTAAATGTACCGCCTTCAAAAGGTTTCAGTGTGGAGTTGCCAGGTTTTCATCGACTTGAGTTTATGAGCCGCAACCTGCTGTCCGGGCTGTGTTCATGCTGTTCCTGCCAGTGCCCCTGTTTGCCCTATTAAACCGTCGAGTTTTTTTGGTGCCGTTTTTAAGCGGATCATTTCATATATGTCTATGAAGAAACTGATACCTTGGCAAGGAAGGTTTTGACCAGTTTCCCTTCAGCTACAAGTAGTACCTGCGTACACATGTATCACTAATGGTTAATAGGTGGTGTCATTATTGGCGAAATTTTCATCGAAACTGCCATATTTCCCTGAACTTTTGCTTTTGTGTGTGTGTGTGTATGTGCTTTAGGGTATATCTGTATTCAGTTTCGAAGTATTTGGACCAGTTGAAAAAATCTGGCTCTGATAATTGCTTTTTTTCTTTTGGCAGGTGCACACATTATTGAAAGGCCTGGAAAAGATAGCCAATTGTGGGAACATACCGATGCTTGTTGCAGGGGACTTCAACAGTGTGCCTGGAAGGTACGTCAATATTGCTCAGCGTGACAGATATTATTTGAGGTTTGTGGTTCTGATTTTTGTCTTGTCCGTGGATGAGATGAGGCATGCTGGTATGGAATGAAACTGTGTGAATTTGACGGGGTGCGGGCATGTGGGAAAGTGGTGACTTGTAGATAAGTACACGCAGGATCAGAGGTTACGCCAGTGCCAGACTTGAGCCATACTGTTCCCCACAGCTCTCTGATGGACATGAAGTCGGATTTGCAATGTTTGGAATCGTGACATCATTGAGAGGTTGTGTCGCTGTGTCCACATTTATGTTCCAGAAGTCAAACACTGGTTGGTTGGTTGGTTACCTTGACACGTAGCTGTTTCTTGGGTATGACAGTTGTTTTTACACTTTTATATTTTCCTAAAAGCTTTGGCGGTTGCTGATAGTTGGCTGTTTTTGACTGGCTGAATGACTTGACAGTGCCCCTCATTCATTGCTAGCCAAACGAGCTGTGGATCCCTCCCATCCTGACCTAGCAACGGACCCGCTTGGGATCTTGAAGCCTGCAACAAAGCTCTGCCATCAGCTACCCTTGGTACGTTATCTCGGCTTTCCCTCTCTAAGATTGTCCTCGCAGTTTTTGCATTACGGTAAATGCGGAATGCCATGTGGATGCTGTTTTTGCATTATTGTGTAGCTCGAACTCTGTCTGGGTTTTAGTTGTATCCAGCTTGTGTAGCTCGTACCCTTGCTCTCAGATTTGAGTAACTCGAACTCTGAGATTGTCCTTGCAGTTCGCAAGCTTGTGGAGCTCCCAGCTTAGAGTAACTGGTTGTGCAGAGTATCTCTAGTCGATGGGAAGGGATTGTTGCACAATCCCCTTGTGATGTTCATGGACGCCGTTAGGAGTTTCTCGGCTCGTGAGGACTGATGTGAAGCTTCAGCAGTGGCGGTTGCCTTGCATCTTTCATGAGGTGATGGGAAGCTTTTGGCTGGTGTTCCGTTTGGCTGGGTGGAATTCTGGCTAGAAGTCTGTTAGCTGTAATCGCGCCAGTGACCCAAAATGAAAGACCGAATGGCTAGCTCAAGCATTGCGATTTAAGGCAGTTTTGATATTGACCGTGATAAGCTTTGTTATGTACCCTGTCTTGAATAGCTAGCTCCATCTGTTGGGTACCTGAGAGGGGTATATGGTTGTTTGGAAGATTCGGTTAGTGTTTTCCCTGAATGTCATCGATGTTGTTAAAATGCTTGCCATATGGAAAGATGTTATGCTTCTGGATATCTAACAGTGCAGAACTGAAGAAAGATTTGATGTCCATTTGCAGCTGAAATGAAAGAGGTTGGAAAGTGATATATACAAAGGAAGAAGAAGAAATGAGAATGG